CCGGGGGGGGGGGGGGGGGGGGGGGGCATCTGGACCTTCTGAACAGGACGCCAAACTGACCTGGGACTGGCCTCTGACTCCCTGGGCAGTGGTCCCCTTCCCCAGGTGCAACAAGAAGCCTCAGAGCCTGTGGGGGATGGTGGTGGTGAGGCTTGGCCTGATCCTGTCCGCTCCAGCCCCTGCTGGAACCCAGTTCACACAGCTGAAAGAGACACACAGGGAGGGCACTGAGTGCCTACTCAGGGATGTCTCTCCTGGGGGGCGTTGGTGTGGACTCTCCTGAACCCCCAGCCCGGAATGTAAATTGGCCCTGTGCTGTGCCCACATGACGGGAAGGAAATAAACCCTTTTGTAGAGATCCCACTTTGGCTTTCCTTCCTAATCCTCGCGCTGGATCTCCACCTTTAGGTCTCTGAGCTGCAGCCAGGCATAGAGAAAAGAAGCTGGCTCCCGAGCCTCAGTCCCTACTTAGTAGCTGTGCCGGGGCACGCCCTTCCTCCCAGGTCCACAGTGAGCCCAGAGCCTGAAGCCCCCGGGGTAGGGATTGGCCCCGCCCCTTCAGAGGACTTCCTCTAAAGGTTTAGACTCTGGAGCCAGGTCCCAGGCAGAGCCTGCTCGGGACGGGGCGTTAGGGCCCAACGTGGGGCTCAGTCCCAGCTGTCTGAGCTCCCAGCAGTCTCCAGGGCCAGGTTCCTGGAGAGGAGGGGTCACGCTAGACGCTTTGAGGCACCTGTCACACACAGCACGCCAGTGGGTTCTGTTGTCATTTGAAACCTCCCGCCCCGGCGTCCACATGCCAGCGCCATCGGCGAGCCCGCGCAGCCTTCTGCCAGCCAGTGGACGTCTCGGAGAGCCGGGCTCTCTAGGCTCTAGGGCTCCTGCGTTCGCACTGGCTCCTCCCACTTGTCCCCAGGGCAGGTACGCCCAAAGCGGGGCCAGGCCGTCCCCCTTCTGGCCTGGAGTTCGGCCGGACACGTGAACAGTTGGCCCAGCCGAGTTGCCACAGTGGACACCGGCCTTCTCTGCTCAGGGGCTCTCTGGTGCTCCCGGGGCCGACCCTTCTCTGGACCCCCGGCTCAGGGCGATCCGGGAAGGGCGGTCTGCCACAGGCCCCGCCTCTGGGACCACGTGTGCCAGGATGGCCAATCAGAGTACGCCAGCCCCATAGCCACCGTGATTGGCTGAGGGGTGGGCACCTGACCCCCAAATGACCCAATCGGAGTCTTCCCGGCGCTGGTAGCTTGTCCGTTGTGGACTCTGGCAGGTGCCTCGACCGGGACGGTGGGAACCCCGGTGGGGCCGCGGGCCGCATCCTTCCCGCCGTAGGGGCCATTCCTACACTTCCGGGGCACCCACGAACGGGGTTGGCTGCACTCCCGCCCAGGGCCCCGCCTCCTACGTGCCCCGCCCCCCAGGGCCTATTCGCTTCAGAACGCCGCCTCAGTGAAGCCCGCCGCCTCAGGATTCGGGCCCTGGGCGCTGTTGCCCGAGCCCTTATGTTTCAGGCCCCTGGCTCCCACTTTCCTCCTCTCTGGCCATCTGGCTCGGTTGCTGGCCTCATGCATGCATTCCTCGCCCAGACCCTCCCTCTGTTCGCCTTGCCCTCCTGCCTTGCCTCGCCCCACGCTCCCGCGGCTCTTGTCTAGCTGCTCTGCCACCCCCTGACCCTCCGACTGGTCTGCTCTTTGGCCAGGGTCTTTCTGGAGCTCAAATCGGACCCCTCCACTCCCTTCTTACACCTCGGGGGAAGCGCTGCGCGTCGACGTCGCTCAGGCCCGGGCTCCCCTAGCCCAAGCGGCCCTCGGATGCGTCCCAGGGCAGCGCCAGACGTGATGGGCTGAGGACGCGTCTGACGCCTTGGCCTGCGCGGTCAGGCTGGGTCGGGGGAGATTTGGGGCGGTCCGCGGGGTCCTGGGCACACTGGACCTCACCCGCCCCCTCCACCTCTAGAGGGAGAGGGAGGCCCGCGACACGCCTCAGGCTCCGGGCTGGGGTGGGGGAAGGTAGGTCTTGGAGCCGCAGCCGGAGCGCGGAGTAGGAGAGATGGGGCAGCACAGCCCGGCCCGGGCCCCAGGCGTCTCGCCAGCCCAGCTCCCGTCAGGCCGCGCTTCGGGGCGGGGTTTTGGGCGCTGGGTCAGAGTCTGAGGAAGTGGGGAAATCTGGCCCTGGGAGCGCCCCTGTCGGCCTACTTCCCTGCCTGGATTCTGCGTGTTCCTGCCCAGGCTCCCTGCCGGTCGTCCCAGCTCCCGGGGGCTGCAAGGAGGGGACAGGCAGTGCATTCACCTGCCCAGCCAGGGTGGCCCAGAGTGACCACGGCTGTGCCATGAGGACTGCGCTGGTGTACCACGAGGACATGACAGCGGCCCAGCTGCTCTGGGAAGCGTAAGTGTGAGCTGGCAGAGGTGGGAGGATGGAGAGGGGGCTCTGGACCCTGAGCTCTGTGTCCACTCAGCCCTGAGTGTGAGATCGAGCGTCCGGAGCGCCTGACTGCAGCCCTGGAGCGCCTGCGGCAGTGGGGCCTGGAGCAGAGGTGTCTACAGTTGGCAGCCCGAGAGGCCTCCGAGGCAGAGCTGGGCCTGGTACACAGGTCAGACCCTGGGGAGCCACATGCCACAGAGGAGGCCAGCTAGGACCTGAGGCCACCCAGCCTGCCAGCATCTTGAAAACAGAGCATCTCCCCTACCTGCCTCAGTTTCAGCATTGGGTGGGTGGGAGACAAAACAGTGAGGTGGGCAGTGCCCCCAGGGGTCCAGCCCCTCTTTCTCCTCCTCTTCCTGCTGGTGACCCTGCCTTGCCTACCTGTCCCCCTGCAGCCCAGAGTATGTGTCCTTGTTGCGAGGAACCCAGACCTTGAGCACCAGGGAACTACAGGCGCTGTCTGGACAATACGACGCTGTCTACTTCCATCCGGTGCGGCCCTGGGGACACACCACTTCCTGGGTGGGGACACGCTACCTCCCCACTGCACATCCACATGCCCGTGCCTGATTTATGGCCTTGCCGCCAACCCTGGCCAAAGGCCCCACATTCATGAATGTGCACATGGCCTACACGCCCTGCTGCCTGCTGTACCCTGCGCGGGCCTGGGCAGAGCCTGTGAGGTGCGGGGGGTGGGGGCTCATTTGCACCCCTGCCCCACAGAGTACCTTCCACTGTGCCCGGCTGGCCGCGGGGGCTGCGCTGCAGCTGGTGGATGCCGTGCTGACGGGGGCTGTGCACAACGGGCTCGCCCTGGTGAGGTGAGAGCTGTCCCCTTCCTGGGTCGCTCCCACCCGTGGGTGGCCCTGTGAGGGCACAGGATGACCCTGATGTGCCCCACACCCAATTTTCACCCACAGACCTCCTGGGCATCACAGCCAGAGAGCCGCTGCCAATGGATTCTGCGTGTTCAACAATGTGGCCATAGCAGCCAAACACGCCAAGCAGAGACACGGGCTGCACAGGTGTGCACTGCGAGGCAGGGGCCCAGGCCCGACAGGAGGGTGGTAGAGCGGGCTGCTGAGAGACCCCATCCAGCCCCTTGTCTTCCTGGGGTGGGCTGTGGCCCCAAGGTCAGAGGCTCTGCCGCTCAGTGACCTCTGAGCACTCCCTGTCCCCAGGATCCTCATTGTCGACTGGGATGTCCACCATGGTCAGGGCATCCAGTATATCTTTGAGGATGACCCCAGGTGAGCCGGGGACGTGACCCTTCCCCGAGACCCTTTGCTGGGAGCCATGGGGACAAGGTCTTGACCTCTGGTCGTGGCTGGTTGTCCACAGCGTCCTCTACTTTTCCTGGCACCGCTATGAGCATGGGCGCTTTTGGCCCTACCTTCGAGAATCGGATGCGGATGCTGTTGGGCAGGGGCAGGGCCGTGGCTTCACTGTCAACCTGCCCTGGAATCAGGTGCCTGCCTCTCCCGCCAGCTGCCTACACAGAGCCCCTCACCCAGGCCTCGCCCCTGCCCCGCAGCCCCAGGCCTCCTGAACAGAGTTCAGGGCATCCTTCCAGGGTCACCCCCAGAGTTTGGGCCCCAGGGACGGAGACTTCATAGCCCTCTGCCACGGGGCCCAGCACTGATGCCCCATGGCCACAGGTTGGGATGGGAAATGCTGACTACGTGGCCGCCTTCCTCCATGTGCTGCTCCCCGTGGCCTTTGAGGTAACTGCATGGGGGGCAGGAGTGGTCTTGATGGCAGGAGAAGGGGAGGGCGATCCTCTGTCCAGAGTACCCCCCCCCCCGCCCACACCATAGCAGAATGGAACCCTCCGGATGGGGAGTGCTATCTGGAGGGGCCTCCTTCACCCCTGTTCCGGTCTCTTTCCTGCCCATCCCCGCGTGGCCCTGCCCACAGTTTGACCCTGAGCTGGTGCTCATCTCAGCAGGATTTGACTCTGCGATCGGGGATCCTGAGGTGAGGGCCTGGCCTGGCAGGGGAGGGCTCCTGGGGTCCCGGGGCCAGGCACCCATCACGCTGGGCTCTGGTTCCAGGGGCAGATGCAGGCCACGCCGGAGTGCTTCTCCCACCTCACACAGCTGCTGCAGGTGCTTGCCGGTGGCCGAGTCTGTGCTGTGCTGGAGGTGACCGTGACAGCTGGGAGGGCTCACTGGTCAGATGCGGGGGTGCCATCAGAGGGGGCCTGCTGTACAGGATGGGGTATCCTGCCTGGGATGGCGACGCCCCGGCCCAGTCACATCCCTTCCTTTCTTTCTCCTCCCAGGGAGGCTACCACCTGGAGTCGCTGTCCCAGTCCGTGTGCATGGTGGTGAAGGCGCTTCTGGGTGACCCTGCCTTGCCCCTGTCGGGGCCCATGGAGCCTCATCACAGGTTCGGGGCCAGGAAGGTGGGAAGGGCTGGGGGTGTGATGCCAGGCCTCACTGCTCCTGCTTCTCCCCACAGTGCCCTGGAATCCATCCAGAGTGTCCGGGCTGCCCAGACCCCTCATTGGAAGAGCCTCCGGCAGCAAGGTCAGTGTGGCCTAAGCTGGGAGGCAGGGTCACATCCTGGGCTCCCACGCAGTGGCTTTGACTCTGAACCACCCCCTAGGGTCGACCCCCATACTGAATCCCAGCACCTACTCCCTGGAGCAGAGAGCCTCATCTGTATCGCCCGGGGGACCCAAATTCAAGGCAGCAGAGGCGCAGGCCTCGGCCGCACTGAGTTCCCTCCTAGACCAGCTGCACCTCAACCCCACACTGCCTGTCTGCACGGCTGTTGCCCTGACTGCACTGGATGCCGCTCTGGTCCTACCCGCCGACGTCCTCCGTCAGGAGGGGTCAGCCCCACAGGAGGAGACACGGGCCTGGGCCAGGTGGGCAGCGTGGGCCTGGGGAGGGGGATGGGGCTGTGTGTGTACATGTGCTGCGGTCTGTCAATTCCTGTCCATGTGTCTTGGTTTCCCACCATAGGCTACACGAGGCCCTGGCCCAGGACAAGGCTCTCACTGCACTTGGGAAGGTCCTGCACCTCTTGAATAGGATCCTGGATGGGCAGGTGGGTGCACCTGGGATGGGCCAAGGGTGGCCATGAGCCAGGGGCAGGGCCCAGGGCCCAGGACCTGCCCACAGCAGATGGCCTGTCCAGGGGAGTGCTTGGTGGCTCACAACCACATGGACGTGAGTTACCTTGTGCCTGGACCCTTTCTAGAACAGTCCTCAGGGACAGGGTCATGAGTTCAGGGTCACTCAGTCTTCCCAACTAAATACTCCTTGACGGAGAGGTGAAGGGGATGACGTAAGTTAGTTTTAAGCATCTCACAGATGGCAGCTATGTAGAGGGGGGCCCAGAGAAGGGGCAGATGTGTCTGTTTATCTGGTTGAGAGTGGTCCTGCGCGCCCACTGTCGACCCCTCCAGGTGAGCAGTGGCATTGCAGCAACCCCGGAGCCCGCTGCGGCTCCCACCCTGGATGTGGTCATTCGGCGCAGCTTGTCCCACGGAGCGCGGAGGTGAGTCGTCAGGGCATGGCCCGTGGGCACCCCCTGCCCTGATGGCCACCACTCCTGCTCCCCGCTGCGTGGGGAGGGCTCTGGGAATGGATTCCAGGTTGGGTGAGTGCAACCTGTCCCGGGGCCAACTTTTCCTCCAGGCTTCTCTGTGTGGCTGTGGGACAGCTGGATCGGCCCGCAGACCTTGCCGACGACGGGTATGACCCTTGGGTCAGGTGTACACCCAGCCTTGTGTGTGGGTGGGCACGCAGTCCTGGGTCCCCATGGGTGATGGGTGGGCAGGGCCTTCCACAGCTGGGGGCTGGCAGAGGAGTCCCTGGGAGGGTCTCCAGCACAGAGGGTCAGCAGTGCCCCCTCCCCCCGCCCCCCAAGGTCTCCTCCACCTCCCCTTCTGTGGTCTGGGCTCTGGAGGGCAAACAGCAGCTCACCCCCCGCGCGTGCTCGCTCTTCCCTGCTCACCCCCCGCGCGTGCTCCCTCTATCCTGCTCACCCCCCGCGCGTGCTCGCTCTATCCTGCTCACCCCCCACGCGTGCTCGCTCTATCCTGCTCACCCCCCACGCGTGCTCGCTCTTCCCTGGAAGGAGGAATCTGTGGCTGAACATCAGAGGCAAGGAAGCAGCCGCCCCATCCATGTTCCAGGTCTCCGTGCCACTGCCAGGGGTGAGCAGTGATGTCGAGGGCAGGGTGTCCTCGTGCTGGCTGGCCCGCTCCTCCCCCTGCCCTTCCTGGTGGGGCTGTTGGTGTGGCTGCGCACCTGACATTGGGAGGCAGGGTGACCCCTGACTGCCGTTCTTCCCACAGACTACTGGTGGGTTCGTGAACTGCGTTCTGGCCCTCGTGCTGCCCCTGGCCTATGGCTTCCAGCCTGACCTCGTGTTGGTGGCGCTGGGGCCAGCCCACGGCCTGCAGGCCCCCCAAGCCGCACTCCTGGCTTCTCTGCTGCGGGGGCCGGCGGGGGGCCGAGTCTTGGTCCTGCTGGAGCAGGTGAGCTGGGCAGGGGGCGGATGTGCCGGGGGTGGGGGTGGGGAGCGACCAGTGACTTGCTGCTTCCACCTCTGCTCCCGGCCCAGGGATCCACATCCCAGCTCGCAGGGATCCTGGCCCGGGTGTTACAGGGAGAGGCGCCCCCCGGCCTGGGTCCCTTCTCCATGGCCTCCCCAGAGGACACACAGGCCCTGATATACCTGAGAGGGCAGCTGGAAGCAGAGTGGAAGATGCTGCAGGTGGCCGGTGAGGCTGGGGGGGCACGGCCCAGGCTGAATACTGGGTCCGGGGGGGGGGGGGGGGGGGCAGTCCAGTCTCAGAGCTCTATGGGGAGAGGGGCTCACATCCCGGGGCAGTGAGGTGCTGTCCTGAAGCAGCTCACCGCAGTGACAAGCTGACTGTGCACCTCTTCCCAGCTCCTCAAGTGCCGTGACCGGGCAGCTTGAAATCTGCCAGGGTAGGAGTCTTTGCACTCCAGAGGTGACACCACAGACTAGTCCCCCAAGAGCCGGCTTTAAACACTCACGTGTGCACCACTGCCTGAGGCCTCTGTCCTGATGGCCAGGCTACAGAGCTGTCCGGGGCTCTGGCTCAGGGACACAATGTCCACGGCCGTGACCGGGAGCCCCCCCTCCAGTGGTCTGCCTCTGCACAGATGGTTCCATCCTCACTTCCTGCACGCCTCTTAACCTCAAAAAATAAAAGTCGTTTTACCAGCAAAAATGGGCTTATTCAGGAATAGCAGAGAACTGAAATTCAGGATAAGTAGACTATGGCAAAGCCATACGCAAGTGTAACTAACAAAGAAGAGGAACGTTATTTTATGGAAAAGGAGGCAGTGGGGAGGGATCGTTTTGAATGAGCATCCATTGGAGAAGGATGATGAGGATTTCTGAGGATTCTTTCCTGCTGACGCTTCTGTTGGGTCTGGAATTGACGATTCCTCCTGTGATTGGCCGAATGGTGCAGCTCCCGTCCTGGCATCCCAAGCCCATGCCAGCGAGTGTCCCTTTATTCCTGTTCACACTTCCCCCCTCCTTTTGATCAAGGTCTTTTCTTTGAAAGCATCACTGTTCGAGGCAGGCTTTCCACATGTAGTGGTTTTGTCCGTCGGTGCCAGGAAGGACATTTCCCGTGTCAAGGACCATGTCAGAGGGAACGTGCGTCCCAGCTGGAAACCACTTAAGGCCAAGTCTGAGTAAGAAGGAAGGTCAGGAAGGCCAGGCACTCCCATCTAAAGTCTCTCTCTTCTCAAGGTTATAAATATTGGAGATGATTTCCTTATTGTGCCCGGCACATCATTTTTACAAAAGTTTGGCAGGCAACAAAATATAAAACCTAAAATAAGCATATAAAACAAGACAGTAGTGTAACAGTAGTGTAACAATCCCAAAGTGAATGATGGTTCTAAACCAGGACCCTTGGTCTACAAGGTAGCCAACTTGAGGTATTTCTTGGCACTTACTCCGATTTAGGGGAGAAAAATTCTCCCTGTGGAGGCAAGCCCAGCATCCTGTACACCTGCTCTCATGGCCCCCCTCCCCAAACCCCTCCAGCAACCCTCACTTTGTTCTCTGTATTTGAGAGTCTCTTATGTTTTCTTCTCCTCCCTGTTCTTGTATTATTTTTGCTTCCCTTCCCTTATGTTCATCTGTCTTGTATCTTAATTCCACATATGAGTCAAGTCATATGATATTTGTCTTTCTCTGACTAATTTCATTTAGCGTAATACCCTCCAGTTCCATCCATGTTGTTGCAAATGGCAAGATTTCATTCTTTTTGATTGCCGACTAATACTCCATTGTATATGCATATCACATCTTTATCCATTGATCCGTTGACGGACATTTGGGCTTTTTCCATACTTTGGCTATTGGTGAAAGCGCTGCTATAAACATTGGGGTGCATGTGCCCCTTCGAAACAGCACACCTGTATCCCTTGGGTAAATACCTAGTAGTACAATTGCTGGGTCGTAGGGCAGTTCTATTTATAATTTTTTGAGGAACCTCCATACTGTTTTCCAGAGCGGCTGCACCAGTTTGCATTCCCACCAGCAACACAAAAGAGATCCTCTCTCTCCGCATCCTCGCCGACATCTGTTGTTTCCTGAGCTGTTAATGTTAGCCATTCTGAGGTGTCAGGTGGTATCTCACTGTGGTTTTGATTTGTATTTCCGTGATGATGAGTGATGTTGAGCATCTGTTCATGTGTCTGTTAGCCATCTGGATGTCTTCTTTGGAAAAGTCTACTCATGTCTTTTGCCCGTTTCTTCACTGGATTATTTGTTGTTTGGGTGTTGAGTTTGATAAGTTCTTTACAGATTTTGGATACTAACCCTTAATCTGATATGTCATTTGCACACATCTTCTCCCATTCCAACGGTTGCCTTTTAGTTTTGCTGATTGTTTCCTTCTCTGTGCAGAAGCTTTGTATCTTGATGAGGTCCCAATAGTTCATTTTTGCTTTTGTTTCCCTTGCCTGTGGAGACATGTTGAGTAAGAAGTTGCTGTGGGTGAGGTCCAAGAGGTTGTTGCCTGCTTTCTCCTTGAGGATTTTGATGGCTTCCTGTCTCACACTTAGGTCTTTCATCCATTTTGAGTTTATTTTTGTGTAGGGTGTAAGAAAGTGGTCCAGGTTCATTCTTCTGCATGTCACTGTCCAGTTTTCCCAGCACCATTTGCTGAAGAGACTGTCTTTATTCCATTGGATATTCTTTCCTGCTTTGTCAAAGACGAGCTGGCCCTACGTTTGTGGGACCAGTTCTGGGTTCTCTATTCTGTTTCATTGATCTAAGTGTCTGCTTTTGTGCCAGTACCATACTGTCTTGATGATTACAGTTTTGTAACACAGCTTGAAGTCCAGAATTGTGATGCCTCCAGCTCTGGTTTTCTTTTTCAAGATCGCTTTGGCTGTTCGGGGTCTTTTGTGGTTCCATACAAATTTTAGAATTGTTTGTTCTAGCTCTGTGAGGAATGCTGGTGTCATTTTGATAGGAATTACAATATTTATTTTTGAGAGACCGAGACAGAGCGTGAGTGGGGAGGGGCAGAGAGAGAAGGAGACACAGAATCCTATGCAGGCTCCAGGCTCCGAGCTGTCAGCACAGAGCCCGACGCAGGGATCGAACTCATGAACCGTGAGATCATGACCTGAGCCTAAGTCAGACGCTGAGCCGATTGGGCCACCCAGGCACCCCAGCATGGTTACTTTTATCAGAAGCCATGAGGCCTGTACAGTGTTGAAGTAGATCTCCTTAACTGTAAGTCAGAGGAGGCAGGAGCCAAGTGCATTCACTGTACGTCCTGGATATCTCAAAGGGTGGGACTCCAGGAGTTCCAGAGGGGTGGATCTGAGGCTTAGAAGGACCAATTGCAATGCTGTCAGCCAAGGTATTTGGAAGGTCTACAGATGTGCCAGTTGAGGCCTAATGGTGCTGTGTTCCGTGTGACTAATGCCGGGATTGCGGATGCAACGTGCAACGAAAACGTAAGGCCTGCTGAGCAGCATGGATGTCCTAAAGCCTCTGTACAAGGAGACCCCAGTGACTACGAAGTTCAAGAGGGGCTCCCCGGGGTCGGGATAATATTTGCTAACAGCACTTTAGCCACAGAAGAAGCACTGGCTTGTCTAGAAGAGAAAGGTTTGGCCCAGTGAGAAAACCTACAAACCATGGCTGAACCGTTTGTATCCAGGAGACAGGGAAGCCGTATGAGATCCATTTGTGTGAACAGGTTTTCCTGGATGACACTTTGCACAGGTGGAACGAGCGAGGCAGGAACTTTGTGTGGCCTTGTTATTTCTCCCCCAATCCACCAATATTGGTTCACAAACACTATCTTGTTTTTTTAAGTTATGATCTTTTTAAAGTTTTATTTATTTAAGTAACCTCCACACCCAACATGGGGCTGAGACTGGACCGCAGGATCGAGTCGGATGCTCTACCTACTGAGCCAACCAGGTACCCCTGAACACTATCGTTTTGTCAGTAGGCCAGTAGTTTAATGCATGTACTGTGGTGAGCAGTGGGAATTCTAGAATTTCTGGTAGGGCCAGATTGTTATTGGTCCAAACCAGAGTTCTCCCTTTTTACCAAACTGGCAATCATTAGATCTCCAATATCATTTTTCCTTTTCTAGGGCCAATTGTCCAGGCATCTCTGGTCAGTATTCCAAAATTACCATTTGGGAGAACATCACTTGGGACCATGACAGAGATTTGGCTACTGGTTTTGTTTTGTTTTCATTTCTTTCTTTTTTTTTTTAATGTGTATTTATTTTTGAGAGAGAGGGAGAAAGAGAGAGAAAGAGAGACAAAGTGTGAGTGGGGTAGGGTCAGAGAGAGGGAGACACAGAATCTGAAGCAGGTTCCAGGCTGTGACCTGTCAGCACAGAGCCCAGTGCTGGGCTCGAGCCCACGAATCGCAAGATCGTGACCTGAGCTAAAATTGGGATGCTTAACTGACAGAGCCACCCAGGGGCCTCGTGTTTTTTTTTTTATTATTTTTTTGAAGATTTTGTTTTTACGCAATCTTACACCCAATGTGGGGCTCGAACTCACAAACCCTGACACCAAGAGTCGCGCGCTGCTGTGACTTCAGCATTTTTTTAATGATGACTTTCTTTTAAAGTTTATTTATTTTGAGAGAGACAGTGAGAGTGGGGGAGGGGTAGAAAGGGGAGAGAGAGAGAGAGAGAGAGAGAGAGAAAATCCCAAGCAGGCCCCACGCTGCCAGCGCAGAGCCCGCTGCGGGGCTCGAACCCACGAATTGTGAGACCATGACCTGAGCTGAAACCAAGAGTTGTACACTTAACTGACTGAGCCACCCAGGCGCCCCTTTCCTGGTTGGCTATTTTGTTTACTATTGTCAAATTCTAGAATTATTTCCTCCTTTTTAAAGGAGTTGTATCATATTTTTCTGAGAAGTCTCAGCCCAGGAAATGAATGGGGCAGGTACCAAGGAGAACAGGGTACGCATCTCCAGAAATCTCCAGAAGAGCCTAGACAAAGGAACAGGTTCAGAGACAGGAAGCTGTTGAGGGTTACTAGAAACTCTCCCCATCTGAAGGGTCTAGTGCTCGCAGCAGATACCGTCCTGACCCGGACAGGGGTTCCTCCTAATGGATTACAAGGGAGGACTGTGACGGCTCCTTGGAGCCCCACTGCTGGGGACTGGGACATTGGAAAGCTGGCTGAGGGCCCTGAAAGCACTGATGTCTCTAACAGTCGTTTAACCAGCATCCCAGCGCTCTGCAAGGACACAGAAATTAGGCTTTGGTTTTTGCTCAGGGGCCTTAATTTCCCAGAGTTGAAAATCTAGAATTTTAGTGGTTTTGCTTTTAGGTGACTCATCTAGGATACAGGTGAGCCAGTCTGCCAAAACAGCTAAATCTGGCATGGACGTAGTTTCCCGTTCCAGCCTGGTCCTTTTTTTTTTTTTTTTTTTAAGATTTTATTTTTAGGTAATCTCTACACCAACATGGGGCTCGAACTCACAATCCCGAGATCAAGAGTCACTCGCTCCACTAACTGAGCCAGCCAGGTGCCCCTAGCCCGGTCCTTTTAACTACCAGAGGAAGACCTGGTTCAGCCTGTTAGTAAACAAAGTTAAATGTTTCCAGGTGGATTCAACATCTAAAGGAAGACCAGGGGCACCTGGGTGGCTCAGTCAGTTAAATGTCTGACTTTGGCTCAGGCCATGATCTGGTTCACGAGTTCAAGCCCC